GGCCGTTGTGGCAGAAAGAGAACCAGATACAGCATCCCCGTTCTTGGCCCTTGGAGAGTGTGGGGATGTTCCCATCTCCATGGTGTATAAGATGTGGCCATGTCATCACAGAAGCTGTTTCCAGGGTAGATGGAAGTAGAATTTTTTTTAAGGGAATAAGGAATGAAATTTCAAAGTGAAAGGTACTTTACATGTTATTTTGCATAGAGTAAGGCTCTGCATAATGGTAGTTGTTACTAGTGCCAAGTTCACATTCTTTTGATATACACTCCTATCTAATTTTTTTCTTGAAAGAAGACTCTGTGCCTTCCACAGTGCTTTCTGAAAGATTTTTTGTATTATAATTTTTTAGAAGGCGCTAGATCTTGGGCTTCTAATTGGAGGTCAGTTGAATGGCTTCTTCCACAATTCTGGAGAAATAGTATGCTGCGTTTTGTACTAGATCATTGGCTATAATCTCGAAGTCTGGCATGAATATAAAGTAGTTACCCTTCCTGTGATTTAGAGATTCCCCACTGACCCCACCACTGGACCTGAACTCTGCACCCTACTTGTACATCTAGTTTGAGTCTCAGTTTTTATTTGGGGTGGGCTCAGGACATGTCTAGAGCCACCTAGGAGCTTTCGTGTTCTTGAACAATGCCGAGTGTTCTAATATTCCAGAGATTAGGAGGAGAAGAGATTTCTTGGGTACTAGGTAATCCTCTGGGATCTTATTCAGACCCGTATTCAGGGGTCTCCAGGCTCATCTCAGAAACTGAAGAAGCATTTTTCAAATAGTTTGGTTGTGTGCTCCATGAGGGCAAGATTTTGTCCATCTTGTTTGTCATTCTGCTGATCCTTTACTGCACATACTCTACACTTAATAATCGGCCAAATGAGCACATGAATGAATTCATCAGGGGGTTTCAGTGGTAAGGATTTACTTCCACGCCAACTATCTTTGACCTCATGTTTTCCTTTTGGGATACTACAGTCCTCTCTCTCCCTCGCCAAGAAACCAGAATCCTTCATGGGTTTTTGGGGGTTGTTTTTGATTTTTTTCAGACTATGTTTTCTGAAGTTTCTTTTTAAGCAGTTATATTGAGATATAGTGTACGTACTATAAAGTTCACCCATTCACAGCGTATCATTCAATGGCTTTTACTATACCAGAGAGTTGTGCAACCATCACGACAGTGTAATTGGTGCAGGAAACACAGAACGCCCGGTGGAACTTGCTGCCAGAAAGACCCAGGTTCAAATCCTCGTTTCTGCCGCTGACAAGTGGTGTGATCTTGGGCCAAATTTCTTAAATTCTTGGCGCCTTTGTTTTTCCTAGCTGTGAGAGGGTTCGTCACTCGTACAGTTGTGAGAAATAAATGAGGCGTTGGATATCAAGCACATAGCTCAGAGTGTGGCATGGAGCTGACCTTTGGCAAACCTTCTTTCCCGCACTCGGTGACCCCTGTACCCTTCAGCTTCTGGACCACACAGGATGGTAAGCAGGGACAGAGATGGCTCTGAGCTGTGATATTCCTGAGCTACCTTCTCCTGCTGCTGAAGCACAGAGAAAGGATCCTAAGAGAGTGGTGCCTCTCGCTCAACAACCGGCCCATCAACCTCTGGGTCCCACCAGCTCTGGCCAAGGCATCAGCCAAGATGCCCCACTTTCCACCCATCAGCTGTCCTCGCTTATTCTTCGATCGGGGGGTTTGTTCTCTCTTTCAGAAGCCCCCCGCACACCCCCCCACTTGGACTTCAATAAGTCACAGACTTTTGTTTCCAGTGGTTTCTTCCAATGTCACCATTTCTGGAGGGTTGTCAACTCTACACATTTTTCTTTGCAATCATAGAATAATAAGGTTGGAAGAAACCCTAGAGATAATCCAGTTAAGCCTTCCTTTTAACAGTCAAAGAAACTGAGGCCTAGAGGAGCAAAGTAACTTGGTTACATAGTTAGTTGGCAGCAGGTCAAGACTAGTACACTGTCAGCATTTAATAGATATCAGTGCAGTGAAGGACTGCCTTTGGGTCTGTTCTGTTGCCTCACTTGACCCAGGAACCAGAGTGAAAGCTGAGGGCTTGAATTCAGATTTGGACCCCACTCTCTATTCCTCTTTCTCTAATAAAACAAGGATATACCTGTCGCCGTTAGCATTCACTCTTAAGGAATGAGATCAGAAGCCTTGTAGAGTGTACCATGCTAAGTGGTTAGAATATTTCTGGAATCAACACTGTTTGGAGAAAGTGAGAATTACAACTTCCATCCTGGTGAGTCTCTGCACATTTGGGCTGAACCTTGTAATTCATTTTGGTTTCCCGTTGCTGAGTGGAGAGAGCTGACATTTTCCAGGCTTCAGAGGGATCTAGACCCAGGAGATTTATTCCCTGCAAGTTACCGTATGGCTAATGGATGGGATGGTTAGTAGAGGGTTCTGTACCAAGCCCCTGAGCATAGAGGGTGGAGGGGCTGAAGGGGAGGAAAGTGGGAGACATCAGTAAAAGGAAGAGAAAAAAAATGGAGATGTCAGTAGGCCCCAGAATTCCTTTAAATTGATTTCTAGGTCCACATCTAAAATACGCAGGTCATAATTTCTGGTGCTAGCCATTTAGAAGTAGCTACGCCTTCTTTTAGAAAGTACTATACAATGTAAGAGAATTTTCTTTCTCTCTCCCCCTCCTCCCTCCCTCCTCCACCCCTCGCTTCCCCTTTGTGAACAGGATGTTATATCCTTAGTGTGCAGGGGGCTGGGTAGGTTCCAAACTCAGACCCCAGGCCCGCAAAAGAGTCAACACTGGGTGTTTTCTAGCCAAAGAACTGTTAAGGGTCGTAATTTAAAATGAATAAAGCCTTTCAGCGGGCCCCTTCTTCCCCTAAATCAATTTGATTTTATGTAAACATTTATCTCCTTTGCACTTTCATACCATTCATATAATAATGCCTTCATGAACATTAATGTTTTCAACAGGTACATTTTCGAGAAGGTGAGGGGGGTGGGTAGGTGAGGGGAAGTATAACACACAGAACGCTTTCTAAGGAGTCCAGTTGTGCGAAAACTTGCCCCAAACCAAGGAATTTGTGAGAAAAAGAAAATTTGGTTTTAGTAGGGGACAAGATGTAAATCACTCATGGGGGAGGGGCGGGTGTTGGAGGGCAAAGGTGGTGTGAGGGCAGGGGTTATTGTTTGGAAAGAGACTCAAGTGAGGAAAAGGCCCGTTTTAAGTCTTTTGTGAGAGCATCTCCAGGCATTTTAAGTTGCTGTAGGTGACCCCGCTTAGGAAGGCACAAGTGAAAGAATGCTTTGCCTTAAGAAAGAAAATGTTTGAATTTTGACCAATCTGTTCTTAAATACGAGCAGCTCTCCTTTCTAACGCGCTCCGGCTGCTCTGGACTGACGCCCCCCTGCACTTTCAAAAGCAGGGGCAGGCTGTGAATGGGAATACCGCATAAAGCAGCAAGGAGTGCTTCTGCCTTGTTATTCTCTGCCTGGTACCTCGGATAAAGGCCCTGGACACCTTCATGGCCCAGGAGGCAATGCTTAGCCCCCACCCCCACCCCCCAGTAAGGATGCAAAGAGAGAAGTGAAAAGCAGATGCTATAAAATTATGAAAAGAAGCATTTAGCTATTCTTTCCAAATTCACACCCAACCTTATTTATAGATAGGGGTCAGGAACACTTGGCCAAATATTTTTAGCAAATCTAGAGAAAATGCTCTGAAAGGGCAATTCCTCTTCTCTCCTCTTTCATCATTTACTGTTTATCTCCCCATCAGGTTTTCTTTTTTTAAGTGCTAAATACAATTAATTGGCGTGCTCTCTAATTCTTTCGTGTGATTGTTAAAGAAATAAAAATAAACAGAAGGCCACCACGACGGCATCTCACCAACCGTTGCTTTAAAATAGAATTTTTGGAAGCATTGTTGATTTCTACTTATTTTTGTTGGTAAATCCTGGGGAAAAAATGTATATCTTTTCCTTTAAAGTTCTAATTCAAGGCGTGGATGGTAGAGTTCTGAAGGGACTTTGGGACTGCGGTAAAATTTCGTTGTCATAGTAACAGAAAGGGAAATAGGCCTTGCTCACCTGGGACTTTAACGCTGCAAAAGCTGGTTTTTTTTTTTTTTTTTAAGGAAAAGGACTCTGCAAGTGAAATAAATGAAAAACTTATTGTATTTCGAAACAACATTCCAAACATTAAATAGGTAAATGGCTGAAAAGACCACTTCTGCCATTTTTCTTGGTTTCTGTACTCATCTGATCAAAGAAGCCCAATTTTAAAAGTGCACAAAAAAGGTTATCTAGGAGAATATTGGCTTAAAAATATGTCTTACAAGTGATAACCTCAGACCATTATTCTGTGCCTTTGTATATTTCTGGATAATCTATAGAGGGTCTGAAAGGACATTCACACTTGTTATTAATCATAAAACCCCCAGCATATACCTGCACAGACTGACTGTCTTTGGACAGTAACATTATTTTCTGATTTTATATCCACCAGTTGAAAATATCAGGCCCCCTTTGTGTGTGAGGGTTTACTTGTGAGGCATGTGTGCATGAAGATGTGTGTGGCCAGCGGAAAGCCACATACGTGACGAACCCTGGGATTCTGGGCTCAGTCATGCCACTTTTAACCCTCTGGAGCAAGCTAATTTTGTACAGCAGGAGTCACTGCCGCTTGTGAAGCCTTTTTTTCTTCTTTTCTCTCTCTCTGTCTCTGTCTCTCTTTTTTTTGGAGAGAGCATGCCCTAGCCACTCGGGGGCGGGTGTACAAACCAGAGCCCAGCTTGTGAGCCACTTCGCAGCCCTCAACAGTGATGGAGCCAACTTGGGACCAAAAACATCCAAATTTGCGAACTGCAGTGGGTCAGCTACGTTCCTTCACAGGCAGGGCTGGCTGAAATTCCCCAGACCTGAAATCCAATCACTTTCCAATCAAATCTAATATAATGCATATATATTCTCTCCTAAAACATGTTTACTTAAAAAGGTAACACCTTGCTTTCTCTTCACAGATTCTTTTTAAAATTTTTCCTCAAGTGCAATCAGAATTGTTTGAAAACAGCAGGAAACCCAAGGGACATGAGAAGGTTTCAGGTAAGGGGCCTGCCGTTCTTTCCTGGTAAATAAGTCATCCTGTTTTCTTTCTCCTTAGCACTCTTTTTTTCTTTTCCTTTCTTTTTTTTTTTTTTCCCCCTTAGAAAACATTATTCACGGATGCCGCTAACAACAAAAAAGATAACTGTAAATGACCGCCCTCTTCAGATAGTACCCAGGGTTTCTTCATTTTGTAGTGTTTAAGGCCTTCTGCCTGCATTGCCAGGGCCCCAGGGGAGGGGCACCAACCCAGGCTGAAGATTTGATTTTAAGCCCTCAGGCTGCCCTTCGCACACACAGCTGCCCACAAGCAGGAACAGCGTTCTTGATACTCAGCCACCTTGGGATTTTTCAAAGCAGCTTCTCTGTGCTTTCTGCAAGCAACAGCCTCTTCCTTTCCTTTGCCACCGATTAACTATTCAGTGGTCTCTCTCCGAGTGTCTGGGAGAGCAGCAGACCAAGCAGCCGTGGTCACTTTAAGATCTCAGCATGACAACAAGACCCACGGGACAGTAACCCAGCTGCCTGGGTTAAATCTGCCACCGGTTTCATCACCCCTGCCACTGATGTACTGGGGATACAAGCTAATAAAAACCCAGAGCGAGGCAAAGTGTGTCAGGTTGGAGATGCGAGGAAAGCAGCCCCTCTTGGCCCCCTTCCTTCATCTTTGAAGGACCCACATTTAATCCACCAAATGGCTTTCCTGCCACTCACGCCCCACTGAAATACCTCCCGCTCCTTTCCCCATAGAAAAATGGAAAACATGTTAAACAATATTATTCAGGCTTGAGACTTAAAAAAAAAAAATCCTGGCAGCAACGTGAGAGATGAGAGATGGAGATTATTAGCCTCACGTTTCAGGTGGGGAAAGTGAGGTTCTGGGAGTTGAAGTAACTCGCCTCTAATCACGGGAAGGAGGTGGTGCAACCCCGAGCCAGGAGGATGTGTCGGATCCAACTCTTTCCACCGGACGCTGGGTTTGCACCGTGTGCAGCTGCTAGGTTTACGCCTTGCTGTTGCCTTCTTCTAAATTCTGAATAATTTCTGAACAGGGGGCCGCACATATTCATCTTACACTGGGTCCCACAAATGACGTAGCTGCTCCTGCCTTTTGCTCAAAGAGCTTCTGTGGTTTAGCAGCAGAGTCATGAAAGAGTTAATAGGAGAGATGGGTACATGCAAGGCCAGTGAGCACGACCTTGAAAAACAAAAATTCCTGTCATGTTTTTTCACCGCATCATGGGTATCAAACTATCTTGCTGTGACCGGGACATTTTTTTTTGTTTGCTGTGTAGCGCTAATATGAGCCTCGCCTGAACAAGTTAAACCACAGCTCTCCATCCTGCAGACTCTTCCCCTGCTGCATGATAAGAAGACAAATAGAAATGAAATGATTTTCTTGGGGGGGCGGTCAAGCAGGAACGTTGTGCATAGTGGAAGCTTATGGTACTCAGTGTTCCAAACAGAAACATAAATAATTTCAGTCCAAAAACGGAGTGAAATTCAAAAGAATTCCAAAGTGCCCAGATGACCAAAGCTTAGCTTTCACGTCTGGAAGAAACAAGAGGCAGGGAAAGAAGCTAGCAGCTTAGACTCCTATCCCCCCTTATTCTCTATCATCCCTTCCAAAGAGTTTTAAATTTGAGAAGACACTTCTAGGAGGCTTTAAACAGAATGCCTTGTCATTTTATTTATTTTATTTTATTTATCCCAAATTTTAGAAATGTATTCACTAAGCAGATGCACGTAATATTTCCTCTACTTCTCCGGTTATTTACTAAGTGAAATTTTTAATGTGCCTGAATTTTTTAACAGGGTTAGAATAAATATTGTTCATTTCAAAATACAAGGAATTCTCATCCTATGTGAATGTACTTGACTTTTGCAAAGACGAGGGAAAAGATTTTTTTTTTTTAAGTTTGTGGATTCTAGGACTGTCTTATTTCTGGGGTAGGGCTAAAGTCAACTGGAAAAAATTTTTTTGCATTTTTTTATTGAGATAAAATTCATATATTCATCATTTAGACCATTTTAAAGTGTGTGATCCAGTGACTTTTAGTATATTCACAGTGTTGTGCAACAATTACCACCATATCATTCCAGAACATTTCCGTCATCCCAGAGAGAAACCCCATACTTCCCAATTCCCTTTTCTGTCCACCCACTGACAACCACTAATCTACTTTCCGTCTCTACAGATATGTCTATTCTGGACATTTCCTGTAAATGGAATGATACAACATGTGGCCTTTTGTGTCTGGTTTCTTTCACTTAGCATAATGTTTTCAAGGTCCATCCATATTGTAGCATGTGTCAGTATTTCTTTTTTTTTATGGCTGAATAATATTCCATTGTAAGAATATACCACATTTTGTTTATCTGTACATCAGTTGATGGACATTTGGGTTGTTTCTACTTTCTGGCTTTTATAAATCATGCTGTTATGAACATTTATGTACAAGTTATTTTGTGAACATGTTTTTGATATCTTGAGTATATACCTAAGAGTAGAATTTCTGGGTCGTATGGTAACTCCAGATTTAACTTTTTGAGGAACTGCCAAGCTATTTTCCACAGTGGCTGCACCATTTTACATTCCCATCACTAATGTGTGACGGTCCCAATTTCTCCATATCTTTTCCACTACTTGTTATTTCCTGTTTAAAAAGAAAAAATCCTAGCCATCCCGTAAGTGTGAAGTGTTATCTCATTATGGCTTTGATTTGTCTTTCCCTAATGACTAATGATTTGAGCATCTTTTCATGTACTTTTTGGCCATTTGTGGATCTTCTCTGGAGAAATCTCTATTCAAATCTTTTGCCTATTCTCAAATTGGTTTACTTTTTTATTGTTGAGTTGTAAGAGGTCTTTATATATTCGAAATACTAGGCTCTTATCAGATAAGTGATTTGCAAATATTTTTCTCATTCTATCACTGGCTTTTCACTTTCTTCACAGTATCCTTTGATTCACAAAAGAATTGACAATTTTTATACCGTACTCAGATTCTATGACAAGTATAGCCTTCCATGAAAGATCTTTTACGTGGAGAAAGGCTTGACTATGTGCTGTAATGGTCAAGTGAAAAGTTTGGATCAAGTTCAAAGTATGAAACAAAACCAGAGATGGTAGATAATCATGAGAGTGATCTAAAGGAATGGTATAGGGAGGGTGGGAGGGAGGGAGACGCAAGAGGGAAGAGATATGGGAACATATGTATATGTATAACTGATTCACTTTGTTATAAAGCAGAAACTAACACACCATTGTAAAGCAATTATACCGCAATAAAGATGTTAAAAAAATAAAATAAATAAAGGAATGGTAGCTTAGGAATTCCTAGAATATACGTATATATCATTCAGAATGACAAATGAGATAATTTTAAACCATATGGACAAATAACTTCGATTCTCTACTTTTGTTATATGATCAAACGTAGATTTAATCTGAAGTTTTTTGATTTGTTTTGTTTTGTTTTTGTGTGGAGATTTGATCTGAGCAGGATAAAAATACAAAATATTTCTAACCAAATCATGAATCCAGCCAAACTCTCTCTCCTCTCTCACCCCTTCTCTTTCCACTATCCCCCAAACATCGGTGGAACCTAAATTCTTTTTCCAGAAATGATCAAATGAGAATAAAACCATTATATCAAACTTATTTTCCAATCTGAACCAAACCTCTCTTTCATTCAGTTCAAGTCCTAAGTAACATGGGCATATAAAATATTTATCGAAATGCAAGGGTTTTAACCCTTTTTGCGGGGGGGCTCAGACCCCTTTGAGAATTTGGTATGAGCTGTAGTTTTGTCCCAGTAAAAGGCTACATTTCAACAAAGTTTTGCTTAAAATTTCAGGGGTTCCAAGACCTCTTAAGACGTCTCTGAGAATTCCACGGACCCTTGATCTAAAGAGATGAAATTCATCTAACACCCAATGGGCTCCCTCCATGTAACTTAACCCTTACGATGGGGACCTGTCCACTTAGGACTCATCCTGGTGGTCTTCCCGTTCTCTTGGCTGTAAAGACCACCTGCTCCGGGATCCACATCCTCAGACCTCCCCCTTCTCTGGAGCTGCAGACACCCAGCTCTGCCTCCCTCCTGGGCATCTTCCCCTGGATGACTAGTGAGCACACGCTCACAGCAGAACTCACTGCTTCCTCCCTGATCTGTACCTTCCTGCTAAGTATCTGTAAAATCCACCTCTCTCTCCTGAAAAACTGCGATAGGCCCTTGCCTCTCCTCCTTCCTTGTCTAACGCATCCTCAGCACGGCTGCCAAAGTGATCTTTTAGAACATGTCCCTCCTCTGCCTCAAGTAGGTTATAAATATCTCCTGTCCATGGACAAAAGCTCAGATTTTAGAAGGCATGGCTGAGAAGTAGCTTCGTACCAGGCAGGGCTTCTGCCATGCGCCCCTCCTGATGCTTCCATACATTCCCCCACCCACCAGGCACACCTCACTGATTTCTATTCCACAGAATATCGCCTGGAACCTTCTCACATGTTCGCCCCTCTGCCTGGGAACCCTTCACTCCTCACCAGCCTGTGATTTCTGCTCATGCTTCAAGCCTACACCTGAGTGTCACCTCTTTAGTGAGGCATTTTCTGGCAGACCTGTTGGCCAACATACTTCTCTACAGGCTTCTACTCTGCCATTGCTCACATTGTCTTCCAATTTTCTTATTATTTGTCTAATAGCCTGTGTGCTACTTGAGGATAATCTGTATGTTTTATTTATTTTTGTATTTCTCCCCAATGCCAGTCACTCTGTGGAGCTCAAAAAATTCATTATTAAATGAAGTTTTTAAATGAATTTATTTATTTATTTATGGCTGCGTGGGTCTTCGTTGCTGCATGCGGGCTTTCTCTAGTTGCAGAGAGCAGGGTGCGCGGGCTTTGTTGCGGTGCGCGGGCTTCCCATTGCGGTGGCTTCTCTTGTTGCCGAGCACGGGCTCTAGGTGCGCGGGCTTCAGTAGTTGCGGCGCATGGGCTCA